AGCACCTATCTATTTGTTCCAGAATTAGCGAAGTTCTATTACTGTATCTTTTATTAGACCAAGTGTATTTACTTCCTTTATAGCCTAGGTCTACAAGATTACACTCATTTATATAGTGCCAGAACAGATTATTGCGGTTAAGGGTTATGGGGTTGCCCCCAAATTTATCCCTGGCCTTTAAGACTTCATTGAAGTCTCCTCCTACAAACCAGTTGGTTGTGAGGTTCTTTGATATTGTGATTAGGTTCTCCTATAGGAGCTTCCTATTAGCTAAGATATTACTTGCGTAGATAGCAGAGAAGAGCCATGGAGGGTGGTTAGGACTCACCTTTACCATCGCGTGGATGCCTTGGTGGGTAGTGTCCACCTCTTCGACTGTCACATACTCTTCTTTCCATATGAACACTATTCCCCCAGAGAGTCCTATTGCCGGTGACTGAATGATCATATCAAAATGGAGCTCCTGAGCCAACTTTTGGTGGTCTGCCATTTTAGTTTCAAGCAGAACAAGCATGGCTAGCTTGTGCATCTTCACCATTTCTAAACAGTGCCTCTTGAATTCGGCATTGTTCCCTCCCCTAACATTCCATATGATGTAATTCATCAGTGGAGTTGGGGTGGTTGGTGAGGTCCCTCTTGAGGGTTCCTTGGTCCTTGCAAACACTTCGTTGGAGGTGAGGGGGATTTCCTCTTGAGACTCAGTACTGGAGTTAGGTTCAGCATGGGCTTGATGGGCCGTGATTTTGGATGGATACCAAACTCATTCCACACTTGACCATCGCTCTTGGACAAAGAACAACTATCACCTCGCTGGTTTCTGTGCTGAACTCTATCGCTCTCACTGAGTCCAGTAGGAGCGAGTCCGTTCGTGGGGTGGCATAGGTTGCTCCCTCTTCCTCTGGCGTGCTTTTCTTCTTGAGGATTTATAGGGCTTTGGAGATTCCTTTTTTGATGTTGTGGAGGGGCGTGAAATGCTCTTCTCTCTTGGTGCAGACGATGATGGCCTTTGTCGAGTCTGATTGTCGATCATTACGAAGACCGACTCCGCTGATGGGTCCTCCTTCGTCAGATCTGGGAAGAATGGTAGGGTTTGGAAGCTCTGCATTATGTGGCTGCTGAGTGTTTGGGGTTCGGTTATCAGTGAGCTGCTGTCTCTATTGACCATCGACTGCCATAGGAGAGGCCCAAAGGCCTCTAGGGCTTTGCTCAACGGTTCCACTGTGACTTTGGCTAGGTGAGCTGGGTTTTGTACAATCAGGGTCACCTTCTGATTGCCCAGGGTGAAATTGTAGGAGAGGCCCTGGCCCTGAAGAGCAACCTCCAACCAAGAAGCCGGTTGGTGGTCTGGTGGTGGAGGTAGGGAGGTGATGATAGTTGGTGGCATTTCGTTTTCTATTTTTCTGTTTCTTGGCATTACTACTTTGGGTAATGAAAGGGGTGATCTTAAGGGACTAGCGTTCCGTCAGTACTCCCTTTAGTGTCAAGTCTCGGTCAGTGGAGGGGTTACTGGCAATCGGAACTAGGGGTGGATTGGTCATTAATTGAGGATCTATTGGAATTGACGGTTTGAGTCTTTTCATCTAGAGATGGGGGGGAGGGGGGATTACCAGATAGGGCACTTGATTGTTGGTGGCGACTGTTGATATTTTTACATTAGAGATTGTTTCAGAAGGATTGGTAGGGGAAGCGTAGGTGAGTCTATTTGGGGGGTTAGATGGGCTGACAATTGCGGATTGGGAGTGGTACCCATTTGGAGAAGAGCGACCGGCCTCATTGGGTATCTCTCTATCTTTGAGATGAGGGATCTCGAAAGTTAGGCTCAAAGTGGCGCCTTGAACGAGGGGTTCATGATTGGGGTCAGTGGAGTCGTCAGGCCCCGGTCCCGCCTTTCGTTTGGCGCTTGTACTGGGCTGGGCCCACGTACTCGATTGTGGCCGTTGTTGGGTCAGCCCTTGCGTCTTGGTGGGGCTTGCGTTGTTCATTGGGCCATTTTTGGGAATTTTGGGAGGGGTTAACTTTTTTGAGTTGTGACGCAGAGATTGAGTTTGAAGGAATTTACCTGAGTTAGCATCGAACAAATTTACCTGTATCTGGTCCGCCTGTGGAGCTTGGTGTGGACTATTCAATCCTGCGCCATTTTTATTAGTTGATTTTGCTAGCCCTTGCTTCCTTCTTCTTGGGAATGTGACAGTTTTTCACTCACTCTCCTCCGTCTGCACAACCTTCCTCTATTGTGCTTCCTGTGGTTCATGGGTTGTTTTGGGTGTGGCTGCCCGGTAATTGCAACCTACTGCAGTGTGTCCAATTTTGCCGCAAGAGGTGCACAGAGTCCCTTTTTCTTCATAGATCACTGCGTGTTTATGGTCTCGTATTATGACCGATGTTTCCACTGGTGTTTCCAGTGGCACTTGAATACAAATACGGGCATATCGTCCCCTGAGTGTAGAGGAAGTGCATTGGTCGATTTTTAATAGTTTGCCGAGTTTCCTTCCAATCTTTTCTAGGATATCCTTATCGTAGAATTCTGTTGGTAATTGTGGAAGCCGGATCCATATGGCAGTAGAAGTAAGGGTGGCTTCTTGAGGAACGAACTTAGGTTCCCATTACCGCACAGACAAGAAGTTTCCGGAGATGAACCAAGGCCAAGGTGGAGTGCCTTCACCATATTCTCTTCTAAACTAAATTTGACTATGTAGAAGTCCCATCCTAGGTCAATCAAGATTAACTGTTCGGATGGCTTCCATAGTTCAATTAGTTTAGACCGAAGGAAATGGTGTGACATCTTTCGCTTGAAGACCTTCAGAGTAACGCCATGGAAGGTAGAGACGATTTTTGTCATCCTGGGAAAGGGGGATTGAGCCTTCTATGTGTTTCCCTTTATCGAGATCTGAATTTGGATGGGAGTCAACTTCGTAGTAATCAGTTTGATGGCTCTCCGGTTTGTCCAAGAGCATTTCCTTATAGGAGTGTGATGGTTGGATTAATTCTACATCCATTTGGTTGTGCTTATCCGGAGGTTCCGGTGGTATATGTGGTTTGATTAATGGGGGATCCATGTTTGGAGGATACTGTTGCAAGAGTTCTTTTGAGAGAGATAGGAAGATACTGTTAGACAAAAGTCATCATACTAGACCTGAATTTGTCCTTGACATTATCATTCAAATATATTCTACATTATTATATTTTAAATTCAGAATTTACTTGTTTGTCTGTATCATATAAATGGAACAAATTATAGGTCTGGCATTTTATATACTAGTGCCGCATTCAATTTGTCAGATTATTCAATACGGCTTTTTTTTTTCTTAATGTAATGTGAATACTCTTATTCTTTCAATAAACTTGGAGTAAAATTGCCATAAATGTCTCGTGCCCAACCCAATGCTTGCTCTTCAGATAATCCTGCACAGCTTCTTTCTGAAGTAATGTTGCAACTACGACTGACGAAAAAAATTTGGTCAAACTTGCCGAAATGCATCAAATCTTTCTTTTATTGTCTTTGATTTTTTTATTTTTTATTTTTTTTGGAATCGCAAAGCTGCGAACAACTGACATCTTTTCAGTGTTTAAATTTTTTTAAAATTTGACTTTAAAATTTTCTTTAAAAGAAAATGAAGATTTAGTTCGAGCAATACTTTTTAATGAGATTAAAATTGAAGTAACAAATTCAATTTATTTTTAAAATTTAAAACAAACCTCACCTAAATAACTAATTTATCCTAGATTCAAACTTAAAAAATTCAATAATTAAGTCGTGGAGTATGCAGGATTCATAGAAGTTGGTTTAACAGGAGATTAATGAGGCAAACCATGATGTTCGCATTGAAACCGGCCTTATGATAACATCGGCCATGACAAAAGACTCTGCCCAATGCAGACTTCTCTTCTTGTATTTTCGTTCCACTAATTATAGTTAGACAATACTACTACGCAACGTTGTGCCATCTTTCATGTCCATATGTTAAGTAAAATTGTGTAGTCTGATTACAAGTTCTAGTAAGTTAACTATGAGTTTACCCTAAAATTCGAGTAACAATTACACTTATATTATGGTTTTAAGGATATGTGACTTAATCCAATACCAATTGATAAACAAGGAATTGCATGTGTAAATTGAAGAATAAGATAAGCCAAATTAGTGTGCAAACCAAATCTTGACTTCGAGCTATGATGGCCTCGAGGTGGGATAGTAAGAATAGCAAGTTACAAAGCAACTCTGATGAACAGTGATAAATAGCTAGAGAATGAGGTGTGAATATTATATTATCAGTCAAAACGTGTCTTACGAATGAAATGGGCTTCCCTTTATATAATAGGAGAGTCCTAAATAAGGTACACTTCTAATTACAGTAAGAAATCATAATTGGCAGCTGTCTAACCGCCAAGGATCAATCCCAATCCGCAATTTACGCCGTGATCTTCGGGCTGTTGCGGGTATCTAGCTCTTTCTGTTACTGAACCATAACGGTATCATCTCGAGGTATGTCTTTTTCCGACCTCGGCAAATAATTTCGACCTCGACCCCGGAATTGGAAAGGAACCTCGACCACGAGCTCGGCATATTGGCTCCTCGACGTGGTATCGTCTTTTCCATCGAAGAACGAAATCGGGTAGCTCCGATTTCCACCGTATACAGATAGTCCCCTTGTTTCTTAGAATAAAATGATAAGAAAAGATTTGAACCTCGATTTCCCCGAGGCCCTGATGATGATGTCATCCCCGTGATGAAGGCGCTCGAGGTGACCGAAACATCCCGTCGGTTTGTTTCCACAAACATTAAATGCTTGCCAGTGGCGGTCGGCCACTAGCGCCGCGAACCGTCACCGTGTGCCTATAAATATAGGGCTTTTACTTGAATCAAAACCTTTACTTCCACCCTCAAACTCTTCTTGTTTTCTTCCTCTCTTCATCTTTTCTCTATCTCTACCTGTTGATCCACCCCGTTTTAGCACCAAGAAATATCAAACTCCAACCCTTTCCACTTCTTTTAACCTGAATTAATGGCGAAAACCTCTAAAACCGTTCCTCAAAAGGAGAAAGCTTCCTCCTCTTCTTACCGGCCGGCCGATGATAAAGCGCCGGTCATTCATGAGATTATCCCCAGCCCCTGTGTCACAACGAACGACTTCAAAGTCGAGAATCCCCCTGCGATTCCGGGCCAATGTGAGCATGTATCGAGATATATTTGCTCGACAACGGAGAAACACATTGAGGCCATGAAGAGGGATTGTGGCTGGGGGGACGAGATTATGGAGCAGATCCCCGCCCCCGAGGAGAGTATCACTACTCATGTGGAGGGGTTCCTAAGTGTCTATACTTACCCCTTCACACTGGGTCCCACCGATCCAGTCGTTATTGACTTCTGCAAGAGGTACCAAGTCACCCTCGGCCAGATCCACCCTTCTTTCTAGCGCATAGTGATCATGCTCCGTTTCTTCTCCAGTAAGGCCGAGGGTCTAGAGTTCACCCTCAACCATCTTATTCGACTATATCGGCCTCAGCTTTTTGAGGGTTGATCAAGCTCCAACGCTGGTCGACCAAGGCCTTCTTTGCCAGTAACGACGAGGATAAAGATCGGGGTTGGATGAGCCGATTCGTGCGAGTGAGGACCTGCGACATCATCCGGGACGAGAAAATGTCGTTCCCTGAGAAGTGGAACCCAAAACGTAAGTGAAGTTTCTATCCATTATCCTTTGTACTCCATTCTTGCATCATGTGATGCCTTCATCTATTTTGCAGCAGTCGCATGGATGCTTCATACGGTCATCGACCTTGAAGACTGGGTCCAGAAACTAGCCGCGATCTCCTCTTATAACGAGCACTGCTTGCTTGACTTGGCGAGGGGCAAATAGGAAGTCAAACATCACGGTAAGTTCGCTTTGTAAGCTTTTTGATGCATTCCTCTTTATCGGAGATGTCTTTTTACTCATATTTGGTTTTCCTCAATGCAGGCATTGGAGATTTCTCTGAAATGAGGCTGGCTCCGCCTAGGGAAGAGACCCGGTCCCCGATTATGAAATCGGGGAAAAATAATAAGAGTAAAAGGGTATCGAAGCCCGAAGACCCCCAAGATAAAAAGGCTCTATCTCGAAGACGCGGGAGAAATCTCATTCATGTGGATATAGAATCGGTCCACCAGCTGAATGATGAAGAAGAAGATGAGGGTGAAGACTCCGCGTTGGTGGTTCGCACTAGGAAACCGGTTGAAGCTGCCAAACCCTCCGAGCCGAAGACCTTGCCTCGTGACGAGGAGGCTTCGAAGAAAGATGCGGACAAAACCCCTGAATCGCCCGAGGTCGAGATTGCTCCCCGGCCATCAACAAGCACACCGGAGGGGGCGGGTTCTGATATCCCCTTACAATGAACAAGACGCCCCGAGTGATTCGCTCGGGGCCATGACAATAGGTCACTCTCCCTCTTTACCAGCTTATTATGAAGAGGCCAAAGGGAGGCTCGGGCTCTTCAGATGCCTGATTTGGGCAGAGTCCCCAGCGAAGAGGATCCCTTCCAGGATTGCTTTACCGGGGTCGATGACGTCGCCGATCTCAACGACACATCTACCCTTTTCAAATAGGCTCAACATCTTTTCTCTCGAGTAAGCATCAATTCCTATTGTTGCAATTTTCTTTATCTTCTTCTCTCTTTACCCTAACTTGTGTCGTTCTTTCTGTGTAGGCTTTTACCAAAGTTAGGGCCGACCTGAGCCAATGTGAAGCCGAGCTCCAGAAGACCTCGGATGAAAGGAACGCTTTGAAACTCCCTTGCAGTCAAAAGGAGGAGGAGCTCAGGGACCTTCGAGCAGACTTGGCCAAGGCTCGCAAGGATGAGGCCGAGCTAGACAAGCAGGTAACTGCCATTTTGAAAGAGTACGGTCTACTCGACCCAACTGTGGAGGCTAATACTTCAGTGTCTCAGCTACAGCAAAATTGGATAGGATCGAGCTGCTTTGCAGGGAGGTCGATCAGATCAAGGCCGATTACGATCGGTGGAAAGAGAACATGGACCGCCTCGCTGCGGAGAATGAGGCTTCTTCGGCCAAACTGACTTCGTCTGAGGCCCAACTTTGGGGATCTAAAGAGAAAAATTCGGCCCAGGCCAGAGAGATCGACGAGCTCGAGGTCAAGCTTGCTGCGGCCAAGGCAGAGGTCGGGAAGACGAAGGTCGCGGCTGACAGAACCATTGTTGTATACGTGGCCGATGCTGAGGCTGCTCAAACGCAGCTAAGGGAAGCCGCCGACCAAGAGCAACAAAGCAATAATTTAGCCAAGTGCCAATCCCGGAGGGAGACCCTCAAGGGAATCCATGCTCGAGGTTATGACTTCTCTGAAAAGATAGCTCAAGCAAAGGCGCTCGACGCTGATGCCAGATTTCTCGTCTCCTCTGATGATGCTGATGATGATGATGAAGGAAGCCAAGGCGGGTCTGACAATGATGAGGGGCCGGAAGGAGAAGATGCTCCCGAGGGAGAAACCATCCCCGGGCATAGTTAGGATATTTTCATTTTCTTTTGTAAGACCCCTGTAGGTCTCTTGTATATATATATATATATGAAAGAAATTTTTTCTTGAATGCCTTCTCAATTTTTATGAGCATGTTTTTTTTGCCTTGCAAAATCTTAGCATAGTTTCATGCTTTGAACGATGTGCTCGAGATGGCTACCTTGAAGTTACCATGGTCGAGTCCGAAAAAGGTTCAAACTTTGAGGCATAGACCCTTACGGTTTTATGCCGGATAACGGTGAGTCCCTGAGCCATAATCAAGTTATTGTTTATTTGAGATCGGGATAATCGAACCCTTGGGTTCGGATAGAGTGAGAACAAGATCTCGAATCCTAAGTATATCGGCCCTTAGATTCTTTTTAGATCGGGCCGTTATGGCCTCTAAAAGATGGCTATTATTTCCCCCTTTTTCGGCTTAAAAGACTTAGTAAAATTTCTTTATGCCTTAGCATGTATCTTTTACCCATTGGATTTTTTGAGGGTCCGATGCCGATTGAGACCCCATTACTTTTTGTGCCTTACCACGTTTGTCTTAAGGTAATTCGATACCTTTTAATCTTTTTCGAGGGCCGATTTTGTCGAAGCCCTTTTTATTATTTGGGGTAGCCTTTTTTAACTGGTTTTTCGTATAATTTGAAGGCCTATTTTGATCCCGGGGTTCGGACGTCTCCGAGTCGCATTAATATGGCCGTAGCCTTTGGGTATGCCTCTTGGGCTTATTTCCCAATAGCACTTCGAACTTGTTCGAGGTGTTAGTCCCCGAGAAAGATGGCCTTGGCCTATAGATCGAGGGGCGCCTCTTGAGGTCTTATGAATTTGAGTTTAGATAACTCAAACATGTTGATTATCGATGACAGTCCCCGAGTGTTCGAGGTATATTTGCGCTTGGACCGCCATTTTTCACAAAATCATAAGTATAGAGTTCGTATAGTAACAAATTTTCTTCGAGACACAAAGTGTTTGATATAGAAAGAATGCTTCTTTGAATAATTTATACATGCGTACATGTTTTTCCATCGGGGCTTGACTAATCTATATGGACACGGTTCAATCGACCATTTGGCCCATTACATAGTTTCCCTATCAAGACCCTTTGTGATGAAGTATTTTTCTTGAAAATATATCCTCCGAGGGTGATGCCCCCAGTATTCAAGGTTGATTGAAAAAAAACCTTGAATACTGTTGAATTTTCCTTAGGTAGCACATAATTGGTTCCTCGTTAAAAACCTCGCCGGAAAAACCTATTTGGGATAAAAACCGATCTAAGGAAAAAAGAGTGCAACGCGTGCTATAAAACATGATGCCTTCGTGTTGAAGAGCTTCTCGATGTCTTCGATCGAACTCCTGCAATAAGTTAGTATCAAACACAAATGGAAAAGGGAGAAAGTCATACCTCAGTAATAATATCGCTTGAGCAGTGATACATTCCAGTTGTTTGGAAATTGTCCGCCCTCCATTGTGCCAAGTTTGTAAGACCCCTTTCCGATGATGCCGATAACTCGATATGGTCCTTCCCAATTTGGTCCTAGTTTCCCTTTGTTTGGGTCTCGAGTATTGAGAGTGACTTTTCTAAGAACTAAATCCCCGATTCCGAAGTGGCGAAGGTTGGTTCTTCTATTGTAATATCTCTCGATTCTTTGCTTTTGTGCAGCCATCCGAACTAGCGTAGCTTCTCGTTTTTCATCCAATAGTTCGAGGCTAATATTCATAGCCTCGTAATTTGATTCCTCCATTGCATGTCAAAATCTGGCGCCGGGTTCCCCGACCTCAACCGAAATTAAGGCCTTGGAGCCATATACTTAGGAGAACGGGGTTGCCCCCATGCTGTACTTCGATGTCGTTCGATACGCCCAAAGAACTTTGGGTAAAACTTCTCTCCATTTCCCCTTAGCGTCGTTCAACCTTTTCTTTAAGTTTTGAATGATAGTCTTGTTTGTCGATTCGGCTTGTCCATTTCCAGTTGGGTGATACGGTGTCGACAAGATTCTCTTTATCTTGTGTTCTTCGAGGAACTCCGTTACCTTGCTGCCGATGAATAGTTTTCCGTTGTCACATACAATTTCAGTAGGTATTCCGTATCGACACACGATGTGGTCCCAGATGAAATCTATAACTTCTTTTTCTACAACCTTCTCGAAAGCTGTACTTCCACCCATTTAGAAAAGTAGTTAGTCATAAACAAAATGAATTTAGCTTTACCTGGGGCCGTCGGCAGAGGGCAACGATATCCATCCCGCATTTCATGAATGGCCATGGGGATAGGACTGAATGAAGTTGCTCTCCAGGCTGATGGATCATTGGTGCAAACCTTTGACATTTATCACATTTTCGAACAAACTCCTTAGTATCTTTTTCCATGCAATCCTAGTAATACCTTGCTCTAATGATTTTGCGAATCAAGGATTCGACGCCAGAGTGGTTTCCACAAGTGTCTTCATGGACCTTTCGTAAAACATAATCGGTGTCTCCCGGCCCTAAACATACCGCCAATGGCCCATCGAACGTCCTTCTGTATAATGTTCCATCTTCATCCAATGTGAACTGAGCAGCTCTGGATTGTAGGGACCTCGACTCTTTAGGGTCCGATGGGAGTTTTCTGTTCTTTAAATATTCAAAATATTTATTCCTCCAATCCCAGGTCAAGCTTGTAGAATTTATCTCGGCATGACCCTCCTCGACCACAGATCTCGATAATTGGACGACAGTCCCTGGGATAATATCATCTTCCTCGACCGATGACCCCAAATTTGCAAGTGCATCGGCATCACTGTTTTGTTCTCGAGGTACGTGATCTAGAGTTCACTCCTTGAAGCGGTGCAAAGTTACTTGTAGCTTCTCCAAATACCTTTGCATTCTATCCTCTCGAACTTCGAAGCTTTTGTTTACTTGGTTCACCACCAATAAAGAGTCACACTTGGCTTCAATGACTTCTTCTCCCAAGACTTTAGCTAGCTCGAGACCTGCAATCAAGGCCTCGTACTCGGCCTCATTGTTAGTCAACCTAGAAGTTTTGATAAACTGCCTAATAGTGCTACCTGTGGGCGACTTTAAAATGATGCCTAGCCCGGACCCCTTCACATTAGAAGCGCCATCTGTGAAAAGGGTCCATACCCCCGATGACGTGCCCGATTTTAACAAGAGTTCCTTTTCAACTTCGGGTACGAGGGTTGGCGTGAAATTGGCCACGAAGTCCGCTAAAATTTGAGACTTGATGGCCGTTCGGTGTTGATACTCGATATCGTACCCACTAAGTTCGATGACCCATTTGGCCAATCGACCCGAAAGTTCGGGCTTGTGCAAAATATTACGAATTGGGTAAGTGGTTAACACACTTATGGGGTGACATTGAAAGTATGGTTTCAACTTTCTAGAAGCGCTTATTAGTGCAAGTGCTAATTTCTCTTAAGTGTGGATATCTAGTTTCTGCTTCCCCTAAGGTTCGACTTACATAGTAAATGGGAAATTACGTACCTTGGTCTTCTCGAATTCGGACACCACTTACCGCGATTTTTGACACCGCCAAATATAAGTAGATTTTCTCATCTGCCTTCGGGGTGTGAAGCAATGGTTGACTCGATAGGTATCGTTTTAGTTCCTCTAATGCTTGTTTTTTACTTTGAGGTCCAGGTGAATCATTCTTCTTCTTGAGTAAAGATAAAAATCCGTGGCTTCGATCCGATGACCTCGAGATAAATTGTCCTAAAGCAGCTATCCGCACAGCCAGCCTCTGCACGACTTTTACGCTGTTCACGACGTTGATGTCTTCGATGGCCTTGATTTTATCGAGGTTGATCTCGATCCCCCGATTTGACACCATGAAGCCTAGGAACTTGCCCGAGACGACCCCGAAAGCACATTTCTCGGGGTTGAGTTTCATGTTATATTTCCTCAAAATCTCAAACGGTTCCTGCATATGAGTCAAATGGTCCTCTGCGCGTAGGGACTTAACTAGCATGTCATCAATATAAACTTCCATTTGCTTTCCTGTTTGTTCTTAGATCAGCTTATTTACTAGGCGTTGGTAAGTAGCTCCTGCATTTTTTAGCCCGAAGGGCATTACATTGTAACAATATGTTCCATACTTAGTGATAAATGAGGGATTCTCCTGGTCTTCCGGGTTCATCTAAATTTGATTGTACCCGGAATAGGCGTCGAGAAAAGTTAGGGTCTCGTGGGCAGCTGTGGCATCGATCATGCGATCGATGTTAGGCAGTGGAAAGGAGTCTTTAGGGCATGCCATGTTCAAATCCTTGTAATCTACACACATTCTAAGTTTGTTCCCTTTTTTTGGGGACTACGACTACATTGGCTAACCATTCGGGGTATTTTACCTCCCAAATGGACCCTATTTTGAGAAGTTTAGTTACCTCATCCTTTATGAATGCATGCTTTACCTCAGACTGGGCCTTCTCTTTTGTTTCACCTGTTTGAACCCGGGGTCAAGGCTTAGCCGATGCGTTGTTATCTCCGGTGGGATCCTTGTCATGTCTAAATGGGACCAAGCAAAACAATCCATGTTATCGATAAGAAATTGAATAAGCTTTTTCCTGAGTTCGGGGGTTAGCCCCATTCCCAGGTATACCTTTTGCTCGGGCAGGTACTCGATCAGTATAGCCTGTTCCAGCTCCTCGACCGTTGATTTGGTTGCGTCGGAGTCTTCGGGTACAATAAAGGTTCGAGGAGTAAGAAAATCCTCCTCTTCTTCTTCTATCTCCTGCTTTTCTGATTCGGTCGAGGCTGGTGGCTGTGATTGCTATTTGGTTTCCTGTTTACCTTTGATGCTCGACCTTTCCGAGGTTGATAACATTGATACCAGTATTACCCCGTCAACTGCAAATATTTCCTTCGCAGCATGATGCTCCCCATACACTATGTTCACGTCGTCCGACATAGGGAATTTCATCATTTGGTGAATAGTCGAAGGAACTGCCCTCTGGCGGATCCAAGGCCTCCCGAGTCGGGCATTGTACCTCATGTCGCCCTCGATCACG